TTTTTTTTATATTTACTCATGTCCCAAAACATTTTGTCTAAACCAAACGTGTTTGTAGTTTATGTTTTTCTAAAAATAAATAAAAAATAAACAAAAACCAATTTATAAAATTTTTGTAAATATAAACTGAAAATGTAAACTTTACCAAATAGGCCCTTAGTAACACAGATTGGTTACCACATAATTAAGCAAATTTTGAGGAAGGTTGAAACACAAATTTGTTACTAAGAAGAGTAGAGAATGAAAATATCAAGAACTATATTCATTGTGTGGATTGGGAAATCTCATGTGTTTCCTCTTGATACACAGCTCTATACACCTAGTAATCCGCTAAACTGCATCAAATTTTAGACTTTTAATACCTACATATCAATCGATATGGGATTGTATTACAAATATTTGTAAGTATCCCAGTATGAGTCTATGGCTCAATGTTGCAATGTATCTTGGGGTTTAAATAATTAGGTGCATTATGGAGGTAAATCTGATTCTCTTGAAGTGCTTCGCAGTAGCATAGCTGGTTACTGTGGCAAGTTTCTTTTGTGTTCTTCATTTTACTTTGTTTGTTGTGATTATTGTTAATCAAAAACTTTTTACATTGTGTTTTGAATCATTGAGAAAAGGTAAAATGGGTTCTAATTTGACAATTTGATTGTTTGTGTTCCCATATTTCTTGTCCTTTACTTCGTTTTTGAACCAAAGCTTAGGAAGAGCAAATGAATACGATGGAAAGTAGGTAACCTACACAACACGTGTGATGACTCTCTCTTTTCTCATATAGGCCTTTAATCAGCTAGTGATTGTTTTTTTAATTTTATTTTATATAGTTTTAAAATTTCTTCAAAAAATATCTGGTGTTTTTTTTCCTCTTTCTATTATAGGGTTTCTATTCCTTTGATTTTATCTCTTCCAGCTGCGGTGCTTTCACTGACTAGAAAAGACCAGCTCAAGGTGTTTCATCTCTATTCATTTGTTTTTTTTTTGTAATTTAAGAATGTGCTTTTATTACTTCGATTACTTGTTTACTTTTATTTCCCTCCTTACATCATTTGTTTTGGATATCTTGTATGGTGAGTTCTTTGTCAACATGAACACACTCTTTTTTGGGTAGGTGAAGAATTGAGATATATGAATCCAGTTAGGACAAATTTTTTTTTTATTTTTTTTTATTTTTTTTTGCGCGTTCATTATGATAGGTCAGATTAACTAAACCTCTTGGAAAGAATACAAACACATTTACAAGGATACCGTATCGTGAAAGTATAAATGTCAAATCCAATTATATGACTACCAATAGTAGAGATTGAGGAACAAAATTATTTGTTTTGAATGATTTTTGCACTTTTAGCAATAGAAGTCCATACATTAGTGTGCTAGATCCTAAAAAAAAAAAGGTTAGTCAGGTCCAGGCTTCTTGATATCTAGACGTCTTTAATCTGGTAATGTGCATAGTCAGCCCCCCCCATAGGTAACCCTCTTCTTCCGAGGTAGTTGAGTTCCATTAAGTGCCTTTTAACTCTTAGCTTTCAAGTTTTGATCTACCACTTCCAAGATCTAGTTTAAAGTTTAGCTTATATGGCTAAACACTGATCAGTATAATATTGTGCTGCTTATCAGGTTAGGGTGAATACTGTACTGGGATCTGCAGCGCCATCTCTATCAGTAAAACTCAAGCAAGCTTTCAATTCTGGTTCAAAGAATGCTTCTATAATTGAGAGCCAGGTGCTGCGTGTGACTCTTTTATTTTTTTATCAGATGCTCATGACCATAATTTGCCTAACTTGTATCCTAATGATCTTGTCATTTGCCTTGATGCAAGAACTCAAGTTTGATCAAGAAAATGATGTCCATTTCTTGGATGCATGGCCAAAGCGTGTTGACGTAGGCAATTTTGTTTTTGTATTTGAGGTAATTGTATTTATTATTGTCATTTCCTACTAATCTAAAGATCCCCATGTTTTTCCTCTCCTATTCGCTATCTCTTGTGTCCAAGAAGTTGATCTTCATCTGTTTTCTATGTGCATCCTCTTTTCTTTTTTCATCATTTTTTTGGTAGATTGTGCTACAAGATTCAGATCATAAGAAAATTTATGCCACTGGAGGCTCAACAAAAGTACCAATATATGTCACTGGAGTTATCAAAGTTGACAATGCAGAAATTGTAGTACTGGACAGTGATATTGGGAGCATAGAATCTCAAAAGAAGTATGCCACTTACTTTTTCCTTTAACCTAGATTTGGTTATATTTTCCTCCATTTTTAGCTTAGTTCTCTGTGATTTTCCACTGACATGCTTGAACCAATTCTCTTAAATGCTGTTGTTGCTCAATTACACCTTCCATAGAACACTGATATCTCTCCCTATTGATTTTTTTTGAGGTTTGTGATTAAGACTTTTCAAACTTCGAATGTGATATTTGGTGTGAGAAAAATGCTTCTATTACAATCAAAAGAAACACGACTTATTGATCTTTATGTGTTATTTTTCCGTATTAATGTTGTTATTCATTATATTTTTTACTTCAGCAGATTAAAATTTGTATCATGCTATGCTTTTTTTTCAAGCTAGATTTAGCTGGAGAGACTTCTCTTTCGTTGTCAGCAAACCATCTACAAAAGCTGCGTTTATCATTTCAATTGACCACTCCACTTGGGCATCCATTTAAACCACTTCAGGTTTGTATTTTGATTTTGATTTGTCTCTTTAATAATGTTCCTTCTTATATCGAGGTTGTTGAGAACTTTGTTTGCCTGCAGGGTTTTCTCAAGTTGAAACATGAGACCAAAGTTGAGCACATCTTTGTCTTGGGGGACTGTCACGACCCAAACCCGCCCCTATGGGTTTAGCATCGTAACCGGCCAGTAATCCTAAGATTACCGAAGGCCTCTGAGATAGATTAACATAATATTAGGGGCTAGCGAAAGCAAATAAGAATATACAACGTCCATTGAGCTGTGCAGACTTATATGAGACAGAAAAAATTTAAACTTTCTATGTACACATATACACATTAACTTTAAGTCGTCATATAAACACAGATTAGATAAAAAGAAACTTAACCCTATTTACAAAATACACAAGACTGTTCAACTAAACACGAAAATAAAACTTAAACTTTAGATCACATAGCAATAATCACTTGACATATCCGGAACCTCCACGGGAGGCACATAGGTTGGCTGACAAAACTGGTTCTAGGCAGAAGCCTCTAAGCCTGGTCACGCGCCTGATCACCTACATACATAAATAATACAGTGAGCTAAACCCTAGTGAATAATAACAAAGTAAAGGGTTTTTATGAATGATGTTCAACACAAGTTAGGATCCAGTATTTAAATCAGAACATATTTAGACTTCAAAACAGACATAGATTTAGATACATACTCATGTTCATATTCAGATTTTACATAAGATCATACGTGGTACACCCATTAGCTATCAAATCAGATTGGTCCAGAGACCCACATACATAGTTGGTACCAACGACCATAAAGGTCCATATCTTGCGCGCAAGTAGCCATGGTATTGTTACCCTTAGGCAAGGGCCAAGTACAGATTGGCCACGGTATTGTTACCCCCGGGCGAGGGCCACGTGAACTAAGGGTGCCACAAATACATTTCAGAAAATTGAACATTCATTCATAATTCGTAAGATAGCATTTCAGAAAAACAGATCATATCATACCAGTCGAAAAATACTTAAGTTAAAACATAACTTTACAGAGTTATTACATACAGATGGCTGCAGAAGCAAATCAGACAGACTGGACATGTCAGATAAATCAGGCAGACAATGGCGCGTGACCTACACAAGCACATAACATATACATATTGAGATACAATATTACTCCATTGATTAAACTTGACTTTCCTAGTCTTTTTTCGTCTAAATAGTCCGAAGTTCTACTACGCTTAATCTTTCTCATTCAAATAAACAGGGTTCTTATTTCACATATTCTTTCATTACTAAGCCCTTCTTTTCCCAATTGACTAATCTTTTACTTGGTTTCTTAAACAACTACTACTAGATCAATGATTCATCCTTCAACTAACTAATCTATGTTGATTGGTAGCTTATTAATCTATATTGAGTCATAAATCATATCTAGAATGCCTTGGAAGAAGATAAGAATAAAAATGTGAACTAAATGTAATTTTTCAAAATATGCTGAAAATGGGCCTTCGCTCGAGCGCCACTTTGGTCGCTTGAGCGGACTGTAAAATTTGAAAAACTACTGAGAGCTCGATTTTCACGCTCGAGAGAGACTTTCCTCGCTCGAACGGACAACACAAATTCTGAAATTTCCAAAATTGTAATTGAAGTTCATAGTTGATATTCAAAACCTCAAAACGTGTATTTTTAGTACACAAAAATGGAAAACCATTGTATGATTTAGTAAACACTTCCAATTAGAAAACATTCAACCAAAATCATGTTCCAATTGCCCAAATTTAATTTTAATTCATCTTATTAATATCAACCCACAATTCTAAGATACAAATTAGGCTTTTCAATTCTTAAAATTGCATGATGCATGTGTGATTGAACTCAATTTCATACAAGACAAATAAATTCAAACCCAAAAGGATTATTTTCAAATTAACTTCTAAAATTTTGAATCTACTTCAATTTCTACATCATTTTACTAATTCCTTTTAATGTACATGAAATTGAAGTTATATGACCCTTAGGAAAATATTTGCGTGTATGACATAAGATTAAAACTAATTAATTTTTTCTACATTCAAAATTAACTCAATGTTTAATTTTCCATAAACTTGATTTTTCTTATAAAATTTCTTCCTTCTTCTCTTCAAAACATGAAATTGTTTACCTTAAGTTCCTCAAAATCCAAAATGCATGTACAAAACACTTACCAAATCCAACCCATTTTACATCATCAAGCTCAATTTATAATTTGACTTCTTAATTTATATCATAATTTAATCTCAAACTCATAAACTATAAAATATGAATTAAATTCTAAAATCTTGAAAACTTACCATGCATGTAATGGAAAACTTCAAATATGTGAAGGATGAAGAAAATCAAACTCAAATATTTAATCTCAACATCAATTTCTTAATAATTACCTTCTAATTTATTTTCCATAAACTTGATTTTTACATGCAAACCCAAATCTTAACAATTCATAATATCTACAAAGCTTTATTTTTAATTCTTTCAAAATTCATGATGTATGTATCAATCTAGTCTAAATTCCTTTCCATAGCTTTCAAATTATAAGATTGAACTTCAACATAACTCAATCCTAGAATGCATGTAACATATAGTTTCAAAATCCAACATATTCTTGTATGTATGTAAGGAATCACCTTCTTCTTAACATGCTCAAGCAAAATACATGTAATGGCCCATAAATCCAACTCTATACCATATGATCTTCAAGTTTTAAGAGACAAATCCATACCTAGAGTCTTCATAGACATTTAATCTCGCATAATTTTGACAAATCCAAGCCAAACTTGAGTTTCTCCTTCCTTTTCTTCACTTTTCCCTTGGTTTTCCTTCAAATTTCCAGCAAAGATTTAAGGAGTTAAACTCTCCCTCATTCATGGTTCTCTCTTTCTCACCCACGGTTGTCTCTCTCTTTCTCACGGTTTTGCACCAGCAGATTAATTACATTGCATGCAAAAACAATGAAGCTCTCTCTCTCTCTCTCTTTGGTTCTCTCTTTTCTCTTTTCTATATGTTTGAGTCTAACTTCCCAGCACATGTATTACATACACACAACTTCTTTTGAGACACCACACTACACACGTGCACAGATCCAATGCTGCCAGCGCAACAACAATATACACATATCTGGTTTCTCTGCACACCCACACTAGTTTCTCTGCACACCCACACACACTCACAATTCTAGATCCTTCTTAACTTGATTTATGATTAAGATTAGATTAATTAAATAACACATAGTCTTTATAAATCTTATTTAACATGCAAATAATTAATCATAACAAATCACAATTCCCATAATTTAATTAGTCTAATTTGACTTCCATTAAGGCCCAATTAATTTTATTTAAATTTATCAATCCGAATCAGATTTTTAGTCAGACTCCCAAAAGGCTCCAAATATTAAATTAAATTTATTATCATTATCAATTTTGATTTCCAAATCATCAGGCCTTCAATTTCTGATCAGACTCAAATTTTCAACAGTAAATTACATATTCAAATTGGTCGTTCTATAAATAACTTTAATTCGCAATAATCACAATTCTCAATCCTCATAATCTAATTAACTTAATTAATCCCAATTCTGACCCAATTTTATTGAATCTCAATTTATAAATCTGAATCGAATAGTTAATTAAACTTCCATACGGTCCGATATTCGAAATTAAAATAGCTTAATTCACTAATTATACTCTCTCGAGCCATTTGGGCATTCTATTTCTAATCCCAAAATAAATCCTCAATAGAATCATGTATGAGTTAATCTCCATAATTTTCGTAAATCCCAAATTAACTATAATGCTTGGCAATTAAATTTCAAATCCTCTTAATTAATCAAGTACTAATCATTATACGTAATGGGGTCGTTACAGGAACTCTGGTGAACAGTTTGAGATAACACTAGTAAGTTCCTCTGATCAATCAAATCTTAAATTTAATTTCCTCCTTATTAGGTTCTACAGAAGTTGATCAATTTAGCAACTCACATATCTATAGAACTTTGTAACAAGACTTCAGCATGGGTTTATTGATATGTTGCAATGCAATCTAGTCTGATATATTAACCTTAAAAGAAAATTAATTATGAATTAAACAAGATAGTTACCTGTTAGTGATGGTTAGATGTAGTAGTTTTCTTATATATGTGGCATTTGGTCATGTAGGATTTTCTCGGACTGGTTGAGAATTTTTTCTATCTTTCCAGTAGATATGATATTCAACTTACTGTTGGTTATGCTATATGAGGCTTTTCGCCGAACTTACAATGACATTCACCATAAGTAATGAAAAAGATGATCATCTAATCAATTAGGTATTGTATAACTGCTTCCTTTATCTCCCCTTTATATTATGTAAATTCGTAAGGCACTGCTTTGTTCATTGTAATTTGGTTTGTCTGATCTATGATATGCATGAGTGTGTTGTAAAGCTCCTATTTTTTCAAGTAATTTGTATTTTTTGTCAAGTTCTGTGTTTAATGTTTATGTTCCTTGACTTATTGTTATTTATGTGATCAAGTTGTGTTTGTTGTCATGCTTTGGATGCTTTTTGGTAGCAAAGAGAAATAAATTTTCTGTCAATTAAACTTGAGGGTAGATACTTACTATTATTGCGAAATTATTTTAATCTCTTTTTGGTGACGTTATCCCATTTTCCATGGTTTTGTGAAATGCTATAATTTAGTTGAGTGTTATTTCTTACCCAATTTTCTATTTATTACTTCTAAACTCAAAGACGATGGATTTCATATATATTTATTAATATGGATCTCATTATCTTTATGTTACATACTTTCTTAAGGGTAAATTTCATTGACCTCCTCTAAGATTTGAAAAAAAAAAAAAATACAATGAACTCCACAAGTTTGGACATCACAACTAAAACAGCGCCCGAACCACCGTATGGACATCACAACCAGCTTCCCATGACAAATAGGACCTGTGACAACAGACGGCATGTAATTAGCACTTGTAGGTTAAGAGTTAAAGCCGATAACGCTTTAAACTAAACCGAAAAAGGGCATTAAGGGGGCGAAAATGCAAAACAACCCTCGAACCACGGTACGATTATCACAACCAGCTTCTCCATGACAAATAGGACCTGCGGCAACAGACGGCATGTAATTAGCACATGTAGGTTAGGAGTTAGAGCCAAAAATGCTTTAAATTTAACCGAAAAAGGGCATTAAGGGGGCGAAAATGCAAAATAGCCCCTGAACTACCATATGGATGTCACAACCAACTTCCTCATGAAAAATAGAACCTGTGACAATAGTTAGAATGTAATTAGCACGTGTAAATTGGGAGTTAGAGATGAAAACGTATTAAACTTAACCGAAAAAGGGCATTAAGGGGGCGAAAATGCAAAACAACCCCTGAACTACCATATGGATGTCACAACTAGCTTCCTCATGACAAATAAGACCTGTGGCAGCAGACGAAATGTAATTAGCACGTGTACGTTGGGAGTTAGAGCCGAAAACGCCTTAAACTTAACCCAAAAGGCATTAAGGGGGCGAAAATACAAAACAGCCCCCGAACTATCGTACAGATGCCACAATCAGCTTCCTCATGAAAAATTAGACCTGTGACAATAGACGGAATGTAATTAGCACATGTAGGTTGGGAGTTAGAGCTGAAAACGCCTTAAACTTAACCCAAAAAGGGCATTAAGGGGGTGCAAATAGAAAATAGTCCCCGAACTACCATACGGATGTTCACAACCAGCTTCCTCATGACATATAGGACCTATGAAAGCAGACGGAATGCAATTAGCAAGTGTAAGTTGGGAGTTAGAGCCGAAAACGCCTTAAACTTAATAAAAAAAGGGCATTAAGGGGGTGAAAATGCAAAACCGCTCCCGAACCACTGTACAGATGTCACAACTAGCTTCCGCATGAAAAATAGGACCTGTGACAGCAGACAAAATGTAATTAGCACGTGTATGTTGGGAGTTAGAGCCGAAAACGCCTTAAACTTAACCGAAAAAGGGCATTAAGGGGGCGAAAATGTAAAACAGCCCCTGAACTACTGTACGGATGTCACAACCAACTTCCTCATGAAAAATAGGACCTGTGACAACAGACGGAATGTAATTAGCACGTGTAGATTGGGAGTTAGAGCCGAAAACGCCTTTAACTTAACCAAAAAAGGGCGTTAAGAGGGTGAAAATGCAAAACAGCCCCCGAATCATCGTACGAATATCACAACCAGCTTTTCCATGACAAATAGAACTTGTGACAATAGACGGCATGTAATTAGCACGTGTAGGTTGGGAGTTAGAGCCGAAAACGCTTTAAACTTAACCGAAAAAGGGCATTAAGGAGGCGAAAATGCAAAACAGCCCCCGAACCACCGTACGTATATCACAACCAGTTTCCCCATGACAAATAGGACTTGTGACAACAGACGGCATGTAATTATCACTTGTAGGTTGGGAGTTATAGCCGAAAACGATTTAACTAAACCGAAAAAGGGCATTAAGGGGATGAAAATGCAAAACAGCCCCCGAACCACCGTACAAATATCCTAACCAGCTTCCCTATGACAAATAGGACCTGTGGCAATAGACGGCATGTAATTATCACGTGTAGGTTGGGAGTTAGAGCCGAAAACGCTTTAAACTTAACAGAAAAATGGCATTAAGGGAGTGAAAATGGAAAACAGCCCCTGAACTACTGTATGGATGTGACAACTAGCTTCCTCATGAAAAATAGGACTTGTAACAATAGACGGAATATAATTAGCACGTGTAGGTTGGGAGTTAGAGCTGAAAACGCCTTAAACTTAACTGAAAAGGGCATTAAGAGGGCAAAAATGTGAATTGGCCCCTGAAAACGCCTTGTTAGATAACTTTTGCAATCCAACTGATAGTTACTGGCGTGACATATAGATCACCTTTTGGCGTGGTATAGATTGAGATGGTAATTTGTACCACGCCAAATGGACATTTCACATGGTACTAAATATATTTTTTTGTATATGGACGGTTGGATTTTTGTATGCTTCTCTATTTTGTGTGGAAGTATAATTTTAGTTTGGACAATAGTTGGTTTGTATGGAATATATACATTTACAGTTATTCATTTTTGGATGGATGGATGGAAGTAATTTGGATTGTGGAATGGTTGATAAAATATGTATTGTTTTGTTTATATACATACTACAAGTTGCACGTAATATAGACAGGTTGTGGAGAAATTACAATTTTGTGATAAAACGTAAGACCATTGTTTTGGTAACTCAACAATTTTTACTAAAAAATGAAGTACATATTTCAGTGACTAAAATGTTATCAACCCTGCCAAACAGTGAACGTCAAATGATGTTTTGGTGATGGAGGAAAACAGATGCTACTCTAGCCTTGCTGGAGAAAAAGTAATGAGGTAGAAAATTGTTAAACCAATATCAAATTACGAATGTTAGGATAAAATTCTGTTACAGTTACAAGGGGTGTGACATTATGCTCGAATGCTATATATGGAACTAATTGGTGTATTTTTTTATTTTTATTTTTTTGTGGATGGCTTTTGGCATGGAGTTGTGGATATTCTATTTTTGTGGACGTATGACAATTTACACTTTTGTAAACTGCTGCATTTTTGTCGTCCTCTGCTTTTTGTGTAGGTTTGTATTAATTGTACATAATACTTTTGGCAGGGTACATAATATTTTTGCCTTCAAACAGATATTTGATGTCATGATCTATTGATTACCTTTTGTCGTGGTACATATTATCATGGTATTTTGTACCATGCCAAATGGTCATTTGGCATAGTAGTAAATATATTTTTGTATACGGAGGATAAAATTTCCCTATGATCATTTATCTTATGTATGGAATTATTATTTTAAATTGGAATTAATGTATTTGATTTGTATGGAATTATTGACATGTGAAGGTATTAATTTTTAGATGGTTGGAAGTGAAATGGATGTAGATTGTTGAATGGGTGATAACATATGTATAAACCAGTTTGTATATATTGTACAGGTTGCATATGAATATATACAGGTTATGGGT